GACAGAGGAGAACAAAGGACCCGTCTATTTCCTTCATCGCTATTATTGTTTCTGCCTTGAAAGACACAAAGGCTGGGCTACCTAACAGAGCTACTGTTCTCGAGCTGTTCAGTTTCTCTGTTGAAAGCAGGAACTGTCAGACATGGAAATGATATCAGAATATTCAAGTTTAGCAGTTTGCTTAAAATTCACTTCATTAGCACAGAATTTGCCAACCTAAGAGAAGTTTCCATGCACAGCCTCCATGCATGACAAATACACTTTCATTCAATTCCAATGCAGTGAAGCAGGTTTAATACGTTCAAGCACTACTTTTCCTTGAGCTATTGAGCAACTATTTCTCAACCTTAAATCCAAACAAAGTCTTATTATATTTAGCAACCCTGATAAAAAAAATCTTTACGCTTACGTATAAGGATTGACGACGCATCTGAAGTGTTATATAGCCACAGGTACAATAAAGGCAGTTAAGTGCAACCTTTTGTTCAAGGTTAAGAGGTGAAATTAGAGACAGAGGTGATTAAAATAAAGCAAAAGCATTAAAGAGCTGAGGGTGAAAATATTCTAACCTTGAAGTTGCACACACCACTAAGAAAGATACCCCACAATTAAGAGGGAAATGAAGTTCTTTTGGTAATCTTCAGTCTTAAAAGAAGCAATTAGTACAGCTCCTATCAAGTTTAAATTTTCAAGACTCGCTTCAAGACGTGAGAAAAATGCATGAGTGCTTATTTTAAGAAAATTAAGACTTGCTTCAAATCAGGTTGAATAAATAGCATTTAGCAAGCATATACTGCAAAATAAAAATATGAACCTGGCTAAGTGTGTAATTATAGAATAAAGTTAGGATTTGAAATGCTGTGGCTTGGAAAACTCCTCTCCCTCACCTTAACTGATTCCCTCTCTTGTACATTTTATATGTATTAGATATGAATATTTCCCCCCTTTACTCTTCCTCTTATTTCTCAAGAAGCACCGGCTCTACTAACAGCTTACACTTCCAGAATTCATAAGTTCATTTGAGATGAAATCAAAAGAATTCTAATTTTGGCAAGACCAAATTGTCTATTCTAATATTTCTGCTGAGAAAAGCTGTTGAAAATAAGGCTGTATTTTCCTCTGATATCCCCACCAAGATCAGCCGATCTCAAAAGGTACGGTTCACAAGTGACTATTATATGCTGTAAGTCCTGCTTTCCATTTACACGGCTGTAATTTGGACAGAAATCTGCAACTCCAAACCAAACACATCTGAAAGGCAAAAAAAGAGATCTGTATTTCTTATGTTTCTATTAGTCCCATAAAACTCAGGCAAATGGCCATTCAGTCCTCTGATCGCAAATTTAAAAGTTACCTGTGTGAAAAGCTAATAATTACAGGAGGGCAATTAAAAGCTGTTTTTCTTTCCTTCTCTCTTAATGTAATCACGCAGTTGAAAAATAATAGGACAGACAATACCATGTTCTTTCTTGGCTCAGAGGTCACCGAAGAGCAGCATGACACAAGCGACAGCTTGCATTCAAATAGGCTTTCACCATAACCCTGATAACTATATTATTAGTCTATTTTCATTTCAAACCATACTGTTAAAGGTATGTAAGAGAAACACTTCTCCCTCCCACCTCATTTAGTTCACAAAGAGCAGCTTTCCTTCCCCCAGATGTAGCACAGTGACACCAGGCTACTCACAGAGATGCATTCCTTTACCAATATCAACTCAACTGCTACTACCGGGTTTTCAAAGAGCACTGCTTTTGAGCCTTCTAAACGGATCTGAAGCTGGCAGCAGCTAGTTGACTTGGAACAAGAAAACCCAATAGTGGTTATCAAAAAGTTTTTAATTTCCTCAAAGCAGGAGTCCAAATTCTAAACCTAATGAAAAAGAACACAAAGAAAACACAAAGAAAACATGTGAAAGGGAGATTACTGAAGAGTGACAGGGTTGCTTGTCACTTTTACCAGTGCGACAGAGGTTGCTGATGCCACAGCACTCGTGCCAAAAGGCTGCAAACATGGTCTGAAATCCGCTGGTGCTCATAACCTGCAAAAAGGAACCCTTCTTCACCTTTCTGTAGATGGGGACATATGCCTCTCAATAAACCAACATAAGAACAGTCAAAAGACTAGGAAATCAAGACTAACAGACTGGCACATCAACACACAGGATTATCCTGTTCTGTACCACAGGAATAAACACTTTCACAATCCACCTTCCCTTTATCCAGGAAATCCTTGATGTATCTTGCCTTTACTATTGCCTCTCTCTCGCAGGATAAACTCCCCAACTCTTAGAAGAAACAGAGGCTTGCAGACTTTATTGGCAGAAAAACAAATAGAGAACTTCTCTTTACACATCTACACAGTACTTTCCATTCACAACCTTGCCCAGAGCACCTTCCAGCTTGTTATTTATAACAGGTCTTCAAGGTGGCAGTATAGCTAAAAATCCTTTGGACAGAAACACAAGCTGCTTCTCCACCACTGCTGAAAGAACACGTCTGTATGTGAGCAAGGCGCCCTCCACAATAAGTGGTGGAGCAGAAAACAGGAGCTACAGATTTTCCCTTCTCGCAGGGATGTTTTCCTTTGAACCAAACTCTGCACGCAACCTTATCAGCGCTGGGCATCAGTAACTGAAGCATTTGCCCTATACAGACAGTAAGATTGCAAAACACACATTTTAAGAGTTCCCCTACAGAATTCTTTCTAAAGCCCTACTACGAACAATATTGCAGGGCAACACTTAGTATACACGGGTGGTATTTTTTCTGACTGCACAGCAGTTTCAGGATTTAAAATGCAGCAGTCTGAAGGAAAAAATCTTCAGTTATCAGATGCAGAACACACCGCTGGACCTTGCGAAGTGCTGAATGGGAACGTGTACAAGGCGTTAACTCGCTAGGAATGCCCTGTGCACACAAATGAAAAGTTCGTGCTTCCTCCCCTCCAACTGACCAAAAAAAAAAAAAAGAGTCCCATTTCCTTCTCACCCCACTTTCAACTCTGGACAGCAGCAACACACTAAGCCAGAAGTTCCTAACAGACAATCACTAACTGCCCAGCAGCTGTCATTCCCCCACAGTCCTGGAAACACAGCTTAGAGTTCTCCCTGAGTCCACTGTTCCAATACACATGAAACTCACATTCTGCAGGAGAGAAGAAGAAGGAATGGGCAAACCTCTCCTTTAATAATTCCTAGGAAAGGTAGGAAAGGTAAACACAATTTTATTCCTTTGTATCTGAATGAGGGAACACATAAGCATCACTGCAGACCACACTAACATCTGCCAGTTAAAGGACACTGACGTTCACAGACAGGTGAAGTGACATTCTGTTTAGTTTACTGTGAGCTGAAGCCACTGCCCGAAACAGTCTTGCAAAACCAGACTCTACAAGCTTCTGGCACAAGAGAAGTCACCACGAAAGCTCTTTCAGCACTTGCTTCAGCACTGGATTCCAGGTAGGAGAAGTGAAGACAGAGACACATGGGTTAGTTCACACAAGCAAGCACGCCAATAAGCGCACAGATGCAAACAATCTCATTTAAACATCCTGCACATGACTGGAAATTATTACAACTAAACTCAGTTGGGAGCCTTAGGGGGCTTTCTGCTGTTGTTGGAGGTGGGGAGGTAACCATACCTCACTCTTAATGCACAAAAAATTTCGTTTTGAATAGCAACCAAAAATGCTTATGTTTCTGCAGATTGTTACACCAGCAATTAACGAGGAGCAAATTCTGTTTCCCCACACGACACGCACTTCCTTGCGTTTTGTTTAAATAAACTGCGTTTCACTGAAACAACACAGCGAGTATCTATACTGCGCGGCACAGCTCTTCTACGGAGCTGCCGCCGCGTCTCTGCTTGTGCTCCACCTCCGCACGGCTGCCCTCCCCGGGCAGTTCTCGGGGGGCTCCCGGGGCCGCTCCGCAGGGGCGCTCAGGACGGCGCGGCACTGCGGGCTGCAGCGGGCGCTGGAGGAACTGCCGGCCCCTTGCCGAACGGCCGCACCGCACGGCTCCGGAGCCGGGACGGGCGCTGAGGATGCGCTCCTGCCCAAGGGGAAAGCCACTAGTAATTAACGCTGGAGTAAAAAAGCAACCTAGGGGTGTGAACAAAAGGACGGCTGAGTTCTCAAGTGCAGCGTTCGCTCCGGAGAACAGCAACCCTTGCCTGCAGCTCGCATCAGGAAGCTCACAAAGGGTACGACGAGAAGCAAGGAGCTCCCTTCTGCCGGTCTGAGGAAGGGAAATAGCCGCGTGCGTCCGAACACCAGATGGAGCGTGAAAAAATTGAGAGGAAACGGGATTTCCTTCAAACCGGTGCTGCTGACAACGTACCGGCGCGTTCAGTCGAAACACAAGAAAAGTGTGCTCTTAAAGTTACCCCGGGTACCGAGAGCCGGTTGAGTGCAGCCCGGCGGCAGCCCCGCGCCGGTCAGAAGCGCGGAGCAGCGGGAGCCGCACCGTGCAGGTGCTCCCGCGCCTCCCGCTCCCCGCGGCCGCGCTCACCTGCGGGGCTCGGGCTTGCGGCGTTCCTCCAGCTTGGCGGCGGGCGGGGGCTGCGGGGCGGCGGCGGAGCGGTGGAGCGGCGAGGCTTCAGCGGGCGCTGCGGGGCATGGCCGCTCCGCCGGCCCACGCGTGTCTGGAGTCGCGCACGGCTGCCCGCTTCGCTACCGCTTGGCGGCTACGGGCCGGGCCGAAGGCAGGGACGGGGCGAGGAGAAGCGGCTGTGCTAGCGGCGGCCGGTCCGGCCCGAATTTAAAGGCGCCCGCGGGCTCAGCCGTCCCCTCGCCCGCTCCCATGCCGTCCCATCCCAGCCCCCGCTCCCTCCCCGGGCGCTCGGAGGCCGCTCGGCGTCACGGGGCCCGGGGCGGGGAGGCCGGAGGAGGAGTCTGCGAGGCCGCCGGCTCGCCCTGCCCGCCCCCCGCCCGCACGCCGGGCCGGGCGGAACGCCGCGCCTCGGGGCCCGCAGGTGCTCGGCCGCCTGGACGCCGGACGCTTCGAGCCACCGCGTCTCCGCTCCCAAGAAATGCCTTCCGAAAGCCCTCCGCGGACCGGGGACTGAAGCCGACGCTAATCGCTGTGCCCGCGCTTTCGGGCAACAGGCTGCCGCTCCTGGGCTCAGCCTTGCCGTCCAGGCCTCAGGGATGAGGTCCGTGAGGTATTCTGAAAGAACGGGGGCTCTGCAGACTGCTCAAGTGACACCGCAGAGCAGCAGTCTGCCAGCAGAAAGGACAGGGACAGTCGGGGGAACAAAGGGGACTATTGTAGCTCGGTAGGGAAAAGTCCACTTCTTGAGCAAGGTTTAGGGTTACCACACAGCAACTGCTTCTTCAGCTCCTCCTGAGCCACCAATCCCTACTTCTGCAACCTGTCCAAAGCCTGTATTAGGGAATAATACACAATCCATTGTACAGGAAAAAAAAAAAAAAGAAAAAAAAAAAACAGCGATAGAAACTTCAGTTTCTGGTTGGCAAACTGGGATGAGAACACAGCAGAATTTCTGCTCTGTCCTACCATCAGAGCTGCTCTTTCCCCAGGTTCTGAGAACAGGCAGCTGTCCATAACGTACCATCCTCTCGCCCCCTTTAACATGTTCTGAAATACCTTTCACCTCGGCTCTGTGTGTGAATTCATCAGGACTGGGCCTCCTCCATTCCTTTCAATAAATCACATTCCCCTGATTACCTGCTTTTAATCAACTGAGTCACTGGCAGCACAGGGAAGCCTTCTGTCTGGCCATTAAAAGTATTTGTGAACAGTTTCATTTGAGCAAACAGCAGACCCCGTATTAACAAAAGAGCACTACCTACATTTAGAAGCTTCATATAGTCCAGTTCTAAACCAAGTAACCATACATCTTCCCCTCTTTCTAAAGGCATAAGCAACAGCTCGCAATCAAGGACCACCCTATCCATGATTCAGCTTTCAAATGTCATCCTTCTTAATTTGCACACCGGTCACTTTGCTTCTATTTACAAATGAACTAAGAAGGTTCTCCCTCCCCCCCAAGAAAAGAACATATTAACTGCTGCAGAAGATCGTTGCTGCCTCTTGCTGCTAGAAAACTCATTCTTCCATACCAAGCATCTCAAAATGTGAAAAAGCATCAAAAAGTGAAAGCATCTCTGGGGCCATCCTCAGCACGTGGTTCTTTCTCATTAAATAATTCTCACAGCAATCTTACTTCCTCACAACTTGTTATACCTTAAAATACTGGCATCTTAAACCTGTGCATTTAGTTCTCCAGATTAAAAAAGGTTTTGGCATTATGATGCACAACTGTCAGTCTTTAAGTATACCGTCACTACATACTATGATCTAAAACCCTACCAAAAACACTTCCAGAGTCCTTAAATCAAGAGCCAAGGCAGTTATCTCAGCCAAGTTTGAAAAATCAGTGCACTTTACATACACAAGCACCCAAGTGAAGTGACCCAGTTATCCCCTGTCACTGTGACTGACAAAATCCAAGGCCATCAGCTGAACCCACCTTGTACCAACTGTGTAAGTATATTTTTACATGATTTGCACACTTTATACCACATATTCGTTATTTTAAAATTATCAGTAATTACTAATGCTTTTTTTTTTTTTTTTTTTTGGTCTGATTTAATAAACTACTGATAAGATCATCACTCAGGACTTCAGCCTGCTAACTTCCCATTCACAGAGTAGATGCTACAAAAGCAGTGACTTGTAACAGCCTGGGCTGTCTGATTAAATGCACCATTTTAGTCCACTGGCTTCAGCCCTACACACGAAGCCACAGAGAAGAAAAGTTGCCCAATGGACTTCTTGAACCAGGCTATCACTAAAGCAAAGCTCCTGCTCACCACAAAGGTACAGCCTGCTTTGCAAACAATTGCACAGAACAGGTTGCCACATTCACCTAAAGGCCCATTGATATGCAAAAATTATTATTCTGTCTTCTTGTCCAGCATTCAGTTTTTCCAAGAAGTCCAACATCTTTGTAAATGACAGTGTTTGACATTTGTATTTATAATAAGAACATGCAATGTTACAATGTATAAATGCACAAGCTCAGTAGAACTGGGAGAGCAAAACTTTCCCAGTGTTTATTCCAAACATATCTTGCAGAATTTCTGGTAGATTCCTCAGAAGCTACTCATGCTGACCACAGCACTGTCAGAGACAATGCTGAACTAGATGGAAACTGGCAGCTCTTGTATTTCTAGGGTTTTGTGGAGACTACTGCGTGATAAAATATTTGCATTGGATTAAGTCAGGAGTACTTCAGTGCAAGTCAAGGAGTTACAGAGGGTAAAACCATTTCAGTAGAAACAACTAGGTGCAGAGACACCACAGATATACTTGCCTAAGATACTTTCTGTATAATTTTTTTAATTTGTTGACAAATCATCAGTGCCAAGTCATCATTTGCAAAAGCACACTCAATCCTGAAAACACTTGTGCTTACAAGCAATCCTCTTTACATCAGCAGTATCAGTCATGACTCAATCTTTGATCATGATTATTCTTAAAGATGCTGATGCTTTGGTTTTTTTGGGTTGTTTTTTTTGTTGTTGTTGTTGTTTGTTTGTTTTTCACATGTAGGTATGCAGACCACTCTAGCTCTTGAACTTAAGGAATGAATTCTTCCATTACACAATGAGTTGAATACTGGAGATGAATTAGCCTAATAGCACTGATTTCCAAGGGCAACCATGAAAAACATCTCTGCAGCTCCTACATTTGTATTCCCTGCTCATGTTCAAGTCACTAAGCTACTTCACAGGAAATCTAGAAAGATCACATCATCTCAGCACACATTATTTCATATCTTCTTATTAAAGGTATAATGCAAATGAACCTATTCGCTTTTGAAACTTGATTAGCAAGTTCTTCATTTTCTGATAGTCCCGCTTCAGTTAGCTGTGAAAACAACATTCAGTGAGTAGCTGATTTTTCAGTCTCCATAAGAATCCTAATTCAGCACCCTGACTGAGCTTCTGCCCGCTTCCAGTGAAACTACAGACACAGCCAAAACAGCAAATAATCCAGTTCCTGCTGATTTCCACTTCACAGGGTCACACTTCCATTTTTCAAAGGAGGTAGAAACAGGAAGTAATGGAAAACATTCAAATAAGGAAAAACAGAAGTGAATGTGGGAGGCTTAATTTTTTTTCATATGAGTACCTGATATGTTTATAAAGAATTACACATCACGTCTGTGTGAGAGAAATAAGCAGTCACAGAATCATATGGGTTGGAAGGGACCTCTAGATATCATCAAGTCCAACCTCCCTTCTAAAGCAGCTCTCTACAGCAGGTCATCAGGAAGGTGCGCAGATGGATCTTGAATATCTCTAGAGAAAGAGACTCCACAACCTCTCCAGGCAGCCTGTTCCAGTAAAGACCTTCCTTGTGTTAATATGAACTTCCTGTGTTCCAGTTTCTGCCTGTTGCCCCTTGTTCTACGGTTGCTCATTGCCAAAAGGAGACTGTCCCCATTGACTTAACTGCCATACTTAAGACAATTTTAAAACTCAAGATACTCTCTCAGCCTTGTCTTCTCCAGACTGAACAATCCTGGGTCTCACAGACTCTCCTTGTAGTGCAGATACTCCTGGCCCTTAATAATCTTTGCAGCCCTCCGCTGGCCTCTCTCCAGAAGCTCTCTGTCTGTTTTAGAAGCAGAGAGGCCAGAACTGGACACAGTACTCCAGATGTGACCTCACCAGGTTAAAGTAGAGGGGGAGGATCACGTCCCTCAACCTGCTGGCCACGCTCTTTTTAAGGCACCTGTGGAGCCCGTGGGCCTTCTTGTCCATGAGGACACACTGCTGGCTCACAGCCATCCTATTGTCCACCAGTCCTATTGCTCTGGTAGTCATACGTGCTACAGCAGTCTCTCCATTTACGTCAAAAAGAGAAAAATGCTATGGGGGTTTCATTGTCAGATTCAGCTGCTTTTGGTGCCTTCCTAACCTCTTGCTAACTCCTCATAGCTTACCATCTATGCCTCAATAGATCTCTAGTTAAAGTCACAGAGTTTAATAGGCGATGACTAGAACATACAAAAGCAACTGTTGAGGTGTTCTCGACTGGAGAGCATCACTCTGCAGACCCACGTGTAAGACCCGGCACTCCTACCAGGCAGCGCTCTCAGCCCCTCGCCCCGACGTAGTCCTGCCTCGTCCTTCCGCAGCTGAGCTCGGGGCAGCCCCAAGGCCGCGGTCGGGTACCGGCGGCGCGGCGCTGAGGCCCTCTGCCGGCAGCCGCCCCTCCCCGGCCCCAAGGGACTGCTGTGGTGAACGGGCCGAAGGCAGGCCCGGGCCCGGTCTGCTCTTTCTCGCAGGGTTCGTTCAAGCGACTTGCTTCGCGAAGCCAGCTGCTCTCGTAGGCTCCGAACTTCATCCTGCTCAGGGCTGAAGGGCGCCGAGCCAAACCGAGCCGAAGACACAGGGCTTTGTTAAAATAAAGAAAGTGTGTTTGTTCATACACCCACAGAAACCGCCAGAGCATGGGATGGTGAAGCACACACTTCCGCCACCTACAACTGCTGGGTGGGATACTGACACAACAAATATTCTCCTCCCTCCAGAATAAGTAAATTGAGTGAGGGCAGTGAGCGCATTGCCTCAAGGCAGAAAGCAATGAGGATTTTGTCACTCATCTCAGAAAGAGAGAGAAATCCTGGGGTAAAGTCACCTCCCTTAAGCCTGAGGCTAATTACACTCGGGTGGAATTAGGGAGCAGAAATAGAAGCATTTCCGCTGTGCTGTATGAGAGAAACGAGCAGGTTGCTGGTTGATGGGACAGTATTTATGTCAGGAGGTTTTCTCCCAGGCTGTCTCCTAGCTGTCACTTAGGTGACTTTCTTTCTCTTCCTCATTCCTCAGCTGTTGCCATCCTGGACCAAAAGCACAGAAGCATTGCAGCACGCCCCCAGTCCCTCTGTGTGAGACCTGCACCCTACCCTGCTCCTGGCTGACTCCTGAGCACCAACTCCTTACCAAGCAGTGACCGTCATCTTCATTGAAACCCTTCTCACTGAGCACAAGCTTAGGAAGGCTTCTCGGGTTTTTATCACTGACTGGAAAGTCACAGGGAAAAGCTCACCCCCCTGAGTGCAAGGCCAGGCCCACTCTGACTAGCACAGTTTGTAATCATGTCAGAAATCAGGGCCCCCTCTACCGGCCCTCCTGTACCCTGGCTAAAGACACCTTCCAAAGAGCACATGTGGACACCTGGTCTGGAGCACTGAATATCCTGTAGGAAAGAGTAACTGTAATGGCAGCCAGTTATTATCATCCTCATTCCTGACAGGAAAAGAAGATCCCATCTGGATACGTAACAGTGCCAAGCCCTGAAAGGCGGACCATGGCAAGATGACTCAAACAGAGCTAATGCAGTTGTTGACAAGATAAACACAAGGCAGCTCTATGTTTACCTAAGGAATTCACATCTAACAGTTCTCTGGTAACATCTGATAAGCTGGGAACATCTGATATCAGATATTGAAGGCTTCCTCAAAAAGGTGTCCTATATCCGAGTCTTAAACAGGATGAAATACTTTGCGGGCACCACAATCCCACCCAGAGTTTTAGAGATGCTGAATGGCAGTGGCAAGAAATCAAAAATGCAGAATGCCACAGTAAAAGCAACTTCTACTTTCTGTGGAAGGCTCGCTCTTCACAAGGCTATGTCACCAGAACTAAAAGATGAAACTGAACAAGCCATAAAGTGAATACTTATAGCACATGCTTGCAATAGACATCCTTGGCATCTCCACAACAATGAAGTCAGGATGTAAGTAGCGCCCTCTTTTTGTAATAGTAGCATCACCAACACAGGCGCTGTACTGAAAAATTAACAAGATTCTCCACATAATAGAGCCACATATACACCTGAGAAACCTTACCCATTTCAGAGCCAGAAGACCGAGCTACCATTGCATTAGATATCAGAAGAATAAATACTTCACATCCTTAACCAGGGACTTCACAAAGCTGATAGGCCTTGAAAGAAAAATTAATTGGGATACTTTGGGGACATTGTCAACTTAGCAAGAGAAGTCAAGGTCCACGAATCCTTATAATTGTATGAAAATTACTAACCAATCATGAAGAGGAGAATGGCCTGGAAAGTTACTAACTCAGTAACTTTTGTGTTTAAATGTTGTACAGATAGTTTTGTGCACGTGCTTGATATATGGGAAACTGTTTAGCCTCCAGGCTTGCGCAATCCTGAAATAAATAAGCAATGTCTCTCCCGAGCGTGCAAGAATTGACTTATTGCACACAAGGTGACCAGTTCGCTTTTTGGACAACACTGTGACAGACATTTGCAAAAAAGGCTATGAAACTATCACAACGGGAAGTTACATGACTATAGTCCATGAAGATTTGTAATAATTTGTAATAATTATTAATCAATTTCCAGAATTGGGATGGAATAGTGTTCTTCGAACATTGTTTTCTTCTCATTCAGCTGATTTCAACAAGAGTTTTCATCCAAATGTTTCCTCATAATCTCCTCCATTCAGCTCTTTGACTTGAGCATTTTTCCTACTGCAGTAACACTCTTTATTCCCAGAGAACAACAGCGTTTCCTTTGATTAGCTTTTAAAGTTTTGCTTGTCTTCCCCTTGCGTCCCCTATTTTGATACTGAGAAAAAGGCTACATGGGAGAAACAATGGTACAATAAAAGTTAATATTCAAAGTAACTTGATCATATTTTCCCTTCTGCAATTGCATTTCTGAACTGCAGGCTATTTTTTATGCCAGTCAACTTATAATGCTACATACCAAAGGAGGTAATCATTTTTTTGTTTATTTGCTTTTCCTTTGGGAAGGATTTAATGCATTATCCCATTGTCTAATCTGGGTCATCAGAAAAGTTCACTTTGCTTTTAAAAGAATTAAATAACAGCATTATCATTTGCTATTTTGGATTTTCACATCTCTTGCTCTTTCTTTACTCTATTATCTAAACATATCCCAAATAAAACACTTAAAGCAAACATTTCCTGGTCAAACTTAGCCAGAAATGCATGTTGTGTAAATAAAGCTTTAAGGACATAATGATTTTTTACTGTTTTGTTTGGTGATTCCAATAGAAACAGAATATTTTAAAGCAAACAACAATTTCTCAGCAGCCTGTGCAACTCCCAAAGGTCTTTGCCACCTCAGGAGAACCTGAAGAGCAAAATGTACTGGAGAAAAAAATGGAAAGCAGAAGTGCAGCTGTAGACATCTGCATTGTTCAAGTAAAAGCAAGGCAAAAATCAAACCCAGCCTTAAAGAGTTTTCTCTTCTCAGGGATTATGCACAATCACAACAGAAACAATTGTAAGTTTTATTAACAAAGAGTTTGCTCTCCCTCTCTGAAAGCAAATGCAGCACCCCAGCAGCCACAGAAAAACCTTTGCTAATAATTTCATGCAGACAGCATTCGTATGAGAACTTTCAGGTGCTAAGGAGCCACCTTTGCAATGGAAGGATCCCAGCAAAAGCACTACCAACAGCTGTCCCCCTCTCATTATAATATTTCCTGAGGGAGCTGCATTGCTGTTGGAATATCCTTCTCATATCATAATGGACAATGAAGTGCAAGGATAAGGGAGAAGCAGAAAAAAAATGGTGCCTGCAGGATGACAGTTCAAGAGTGAAACACTGATCTTCTGTAGATAGAGGGGAGACTTGGAAATGTGTAGCCCAAAACCATAGAGACTCATCACAAAGAAGCAACCTGAGTTCAGATCCCCCACAGGCAATGCCGTCCATCCAAAGACCAGAGTCACAGAGTTAGATACCTTTAGACACAGAAAACTCCTCTGCCTAAACTTGCCATATATTTTAACTGTTGTTCCCAAGTTGAGGCCTGAGAAGAGCAATAGCAGCTCTGTGCTTTATTGAAAACAAATCTGGTGAGAGTAAAGAAGCACAGTAATGTGGAGAAATCTACCCACAAGCCCCACTGCTAAACACAGCAGTTTAAATACCTCTTGTTGTTCCTCCAGATACAGTCCCTGGAGAAAGCTGCAGTGAGCAACCCACACAAGAGCAAAACCTACCTCCTCACCAGGGGAAGGAAGCAATTTGTTTGGTGGAAGCTAAGAGCAAGGACTGTGTGGTGCGCTGCACGCAACAGCAAGGGCTGGCAGTGCATTGCTGAAAAGCACCTCAGAAGCCATTCCTCTGCAAGAACTGCTATGTGGCCAGGCTGACACATACAAATTAGACATGAAGTGTGCAATTGGCCTCAACATCTACTGCCTTCCAGTAAGTAAAATAAATTCAAGGCCTTTTGGACTAAGACTAACAGCAATTAAGGCACCGTATCCAGTAAAAATGTGCAGAAACAATATCTTCTGCCTTAAAAACTAATAAACTTAGGCTTCACCTCAACATTTATGGAGCAACAGGAGACAACTGTCTTGTGACAACATTCTGTTCTCAGGGCATGACACTGTATTGACAGATATGAAGGGACAATATGTTCTGGTGGAGCATTTAAAGAAAATAGTAGTGCTGTCAAAGGGCAAGCTTTCATTTTATGCTTACAAAACACCAGAATAAAATATTTCCTTTGGAGAATTTCACACATCATTTCATTAATATAAACAGGCAAGCATTATCTCCATCTCTCAGAGCCTTGAACTTTTTGCCAGCACTTCCTCACACCATGTTGGTCCCATCTCACAGATCCTTCCCACAAGGGGAGAGGGCATCCTCAAAGCCTCTCCTTATTTCTCTGAGACTAGGTCATTTTCTTACAGAGCTCATGACTGCAGTGGAGCAACAATGAGTTGCCTGCTAGGGCATGATTTTTTTTCTTCATTTTCAGTCTTGGTTTTGGTGGGGAAAAAATGGACAAGACAGGTCACCCCAGCAGCTTACAGGTGGCCCAACCAAAGTGAGGGTAAAACACAACAGAATTGAGAGCCAAAACAACACGAGGTTGAGAGCATGTCACTGGGTTCAACAAGGAATGTGAGGGATCATAGTTTGCACAAGGGGGTTTCCAGATACACATCACAAGGAAATTTATGGTTAACCTCTCCTATCAGTGCACAGCTGCCTCCTGTTGCCCCTGAGTATTTTGCAAATCTCTACACCAAAAGAAAAGGCACTGTCACTTGGGACAGGCCAAGGCAGACTACTGATCCAGGACAGCATCAGAGGCAGGAAGACAGTGCTGCAGCAAAAGTTAGGGAAAGCGGCATCTCCAGCACCCAGAACAAAGTCTTCCGACTTTTTTTTCCCCCTGCTTCCCTGCCTATCTCACTTGGCGAGGTTAAGCTCTGACTTCCTCCTACCAAGACTTTCAGAGCTGATGGGGAGATTCCAAGGGATATTAATTATTGTTTGAAATCACTTCAAAGGACCTTTTCTTCCCCTCTCTTGTATTAATAGCCGGAATGAGGAAATTGGTTTGGATTTCATACTTACATCTGCTCCCCAAACCTGTGCTTATTTAAAGATACTCATCCTAAATCAAGCCTGCTTCTATTAAAAGGCTCCTACTCTACACAAGTGCTCACACCCATGCCTTTCCACTTCCACACATATCTAGAAATCCATGTTCCAACTGGCAGCCAGAGGTGCCAGAAATAACCACAAGAAAGGCTGCCACAAAATCTCCAGCCAAGTTTTGAAAATCCAGGCACTTTACACAAGCATCTATGCTTAGAGAACTTCATCTGATGTTAACCAAGACTCAGTCTTATAAGGTTTGTGTATCATAGATCAAATATCAAAAAATGTAAATGCAAATACTTTTTTTTTCCCCCATAAAAATGTGCAGGATAACAGTTGTTTTACAAGCCTGACAGCTCATACTTCCAGCAGTGTTCTGACATTCTTGCCCCACTTGTACTAGCTAACGGCTGTTTTTCATTCTTAAGACTTTTTTTTTCCAGTGGCCATGCTACAGTGAATTTGGAAACTGTTAAAATTCAATTTCTACATTCCCATGCTTCAAGG